GTATCATACCACCTGTGCCATGCCATCCTGTATCATACCAGCCTGGTGCATGCCAGCCTGTATCATACCAGCCTGTGCCATGCCAGCCTGTATCATACCAGCCTGTGCCATGCCAGCCTGTATCATACCAGCTGTGACATGCCAGCCTGTATCATACCAGCCTGTGCCATGTCAGCCTGTATCATACCAGCCTGTGCCATGCCAGCCTGTATCATACCAGCCTGTGCCATGCCAGCCTGTATCATACCAGCCTGTGACATGTCAGCCTGTATCATACCAGCCTGTGCCATGTCAGCCTGTATCATACCAGCCTGTGCCATGCCAGCCTGTATCATACCAGCCTGTGCCATGCCAGCCTGTATCATACCAGCCTGTGCCATCCTGTATCATACCCAGCCTGTATCATACCAGCCTGTGCCATGCCAGCCTGTATCATACCAGCCTGTGCCATGCCAGCCTGTATCATACCAGCCTGTGCCATGCCAGCCTGTATCATACCAGCCTGTGCCATGCCAGCCTGTATCATACCAGCCTGTGCCATGCCAGCCTGTATCATACCAGCCTGTGCCATGCCAGCCTGTATCATACCAGCCTGTGCCATGCCAGCCTGTATCATACCAGCCTGTGCCATGCCAGCCTGTATCATACCAGCCTGTGCCATGCCAGCCTGTATCATACCAGCCTGTGCCATGCCAGCCTGTATCATACCAGCCTGTGCCATGCCAGCCTGTATCATACCAGCCTGTGCCATGCCAGCCTGTATCATACCAGCCTGTGCCATGCCAGCCTGTATCATACCAGCCTGTGCCATGCCAGCCTGTATCATACCAGCCTGTGCCATGCCAGCCTGTATCATACCAGCCTGTGCCATGCCAGCCTGTATCATACCAGCCTGTGCCATGCCAGCCTGTATCATACCAGCCTGTGCCATGCCAGCCTGTATCATACCAGCCTGTGCCATGCCAGCCTGTGCCATGCCAGCCTGTATCATACCAGCCTGTGCCATGCCAGCCTGTATCATACCAGCCTGTGCCATGCCAGCCTGTATCATACCAGCCTGTGCCATGCCAGCCTGTATCATACCAGCCTGTGCCATGCCAGCCTGTGTATATGTGTGTATGTGTGTGTGTAATTTACTCTCGTGAAACACACAAGTCTCCACTCTCAATAAACCCACGAGGCTACACTCATGACAATTACCACAATGTTTTACAGTTCATCAATCATGATAACTTTCATCTTAGCATTCCTCCTGCTCTTCTTCCCCCCCCCCCCCCCCCCCCCCCCCCCCCCCCCCCCTTTCCAGCATCCCCCCCCCAACCCCCCCCTTTCCAGCATCCCCCCCCAACCCCCCCCCCCCCCCTTTCCAGCATCCCCCCCCAACCCCCCCCCCCTTTCCAGCATCCTCCCTCCCACCCCCCCCCTTCCAGCATCCCCCCTCCCCCAAAGAACACGAAAATCCTGTTTGAAAGTCGACGATAAAGACGGTCCTAAAATGGGGGCACTTCCACTTTTTTTTTTTTACGAGGGCCATCGTGTACTTCTTCCCCTCTTTTCCCCTCTATCTTTCTCTCCCTCTTGCCCCCTTTCTCGTTTCCTACCCCATCTCCTCTCTCTCTCGCCCTCTTCAGATACTTTCCCCTCGTGTTTTTTTTTTTGCCCTTCTTCCCATACTTCCCCCACCTCCGCCGTCCCCTCTTCTCCCTCTGCACTAACCTTCCGTCCCCTCTTTATACATTGAACAGTTCCTTTCCCCTCTTCCCTCTCCTCCTACAACCATCCACATCTCATCACCCAAACATGAAAATCTACTCCAATAATGCTGTTGAGCAAGGCATCTCCCCTCACCTTCACCACCACCATTCTCCAACCCCCACCACCATCTACCCCCACCTCCACCCCCCTTCTCCAACACCTAAACCCCCTACAACCCCTTCCCCCTCTCTCCCAAACACTAGGCTGACACTAAACAATATTTTGTTTTGTGTCACTATATATATATATATATATATATATATATATATATATATATATATATATATATATATATATATATATATATATATATAAATATGTATATATATATATATATATATATATATATATATATATATATCTATATATATATATATATATATATATATATATATCCGGAGTTTATAACTATGAATCCGGAACCGATCTGCGGGGCGTCCTTAAGGGCGCTCTCCTCATATCGTTATCGAGGGAGTTACAGTCATATTTACGACACAGTTCGGGGCATTGCTCTATATTGCCCCCTCGCTGAAGGTCTAGACGGAGGAAGGAGTTCATCACGATATCTTCAGATTACAGTAAGATTCATCTGGCCATTCCCTGTGATGCTGAGATGCTGAGGGAGGGATGCTGAGGATGGGAGAGGAAAATAGATGAATGTGTGATTGAAGAATAGAGGAGAAAGGGGTATAAATGGGTACAAAAAAAGGAGACGATAATGATATTGGGACATGCAATGCCTATAGACATAACTAGACACACACACAAGTGATGTGGTGGAGGCTGACTCCATACACAGCTTCATGTGTAGATATGATAGAGCCCAATAGGCTCAGGAACCTGTACACCTGTTGATTGACAGTTGAGAGGCGGGACCGAAGAGCCAGAGCTCAACCTCCGCAAGCATAATAAGGTAAATTAGGTAAGTACACACACACACACCAGTAGATCTGTTATCATACATACATATTCGAGAACTGCCATTGAAACCTTGCAACAAGAACACATATGTGATAACGTCCATCTGATCACAAATGTCATATCATTAATGCAAACAATCAAACGTCAAGGCCGTCGGGTACTTATCAACTGGGTGCCAAGTCATGTGGGAATAATAGGAAATGACATTGCAGACGAAACTGCAAAACTTGCAACTAAGAGAAGAAATGTAGACATTTACATACCAATACTAGTGGTAATATGCCACTTACCCACACACTCCTTCCCTCGTCTCTCACTCCTCCAACTTTCCCTCACTTTTCCCCCCTTCCCATACTCCCTCTCTAGCCCCCCCCCCCGTACAACTTTCACCCACACCCAGCAAAACATTACAAATGATCAACCAACTTCCACACGCACACAAAAAACAGCAATGTAAGCAAACATGTATATTAAGAGTACAAAGATATTCAAGAGTTCCTTGTTTTTTTTTGTTCCGTGAGCGCTCCAAATCCCCCCTCCCCCTCCCTCCTCCCCACCCTCCACCCCCTCCCCCCAGAAACATCGTAAATCCCCAAGAGCCGCCACACTCACCGGCCACACACTATATTTCTGCCTCTCTACTAGACATATAAATCCAAATAATAACACACCAATTCCACCCATGATTGGCAGTGGGGTTTGGAAAATTATTAATATCACCCAGAGGTGAAAATCGGGGGTGTGAATTCTGTCACGTTTCAGTGGGAGCCTGTTATTATAGGTAGGTGGGGGGGGGGGGGCGGGGGCTGTAACTACGTGGGGGGGAGCTGTAACTACGTCGGTGGGGGGGGGGGGCTGTAACTACGTTGGTGACGTGGGCGTTGGTCCAGTTGGCACGAAACCCATCACCAGGGAGGCCATTTGAGCACCACCGATACATCAATAAGTCCCTGCACGTGCTAGGAGCAGCTGGGTGCTCGTGCTAGGAGCAGCTGGGTGCTCGTGCTAGGAGTATCGACGGTGCGGTACCGCTCCTCCTCCCGTAACAGGCGGCTAGGGATCCAGCTGGGTGCTAGGGGAGCAATGCAAGGACCTGGTAGGCTCACACCCAGCGTTGGAAGGTCACGACACTGGATTTATAGACGAAGGAAAGTCGTAGGAACGATTTAAGAGCCGGACGCAAAGGTTAATACCTAGTACTAGAGATAAACACAGGAGAAGGAACAGGGGAAGGAATAGGGGCAGGAACAGGGGGAAGGAACAGGGGAAGGAACAGGGGACGGAACAGGGGACGGAACAGGGGACGGAACAGAGGAAGGAACAGGAGAAGGAACAGAGGAAGGAGCAGAGGAAGGAACAGGGGACGGAACAGAGGAAGGAACAGGAGAAGGAACAGAGGAAGGAGCAGAGGAAGGAACAGGGGACGGAACAGAGGAAGGAACAGGAGAAGGAACAGAGGATGGAACAGGGGACGGAACAGGGGAAGAAGCAGGGGAAGAAACAGAGGAAGGAACAGAGGAAGAAACAGCGGAAGAAACAGAGGAAGGAACAGGGGAAGGAACAGGAGAAGGAACAGAGGACGGAACAGGGCACGGAACAAGGGAAGGAACAGGGGAAGAAACAGCAGAAGAAACAGAGGAAGAAACAGCAGAAGAAACAGAGGAAGAAACAGGGGAAGGAACAGGGAAAGGAACAGAGAAAGGAACAGGGGCACTTGGAAGGCAAGGCTAAAATATCAATACATGCTACTGGAAGGTTGTACCAGCGTGCTGGAGGGAAGCCGACAGTCAGGTTAACACTCTGAAAGGTCAATATTCGCCCTCCTGAAAAATGTATATTTATGGGATGCCGTGAAAACTGAAATGTCACAACACCTTCCTGGAGGAAGAGCCGAGAAGGGAACATAACCTGGGGGCAGATTCACGAAAGCACTTACGCAAGGTCTTACGAACATGTACATCTTTCCTCAATCTTTGACGGCTTTGGTTACATTTATTAAACAGTTTACAAGCATGAAAACTTGCCAATCAACTGTTGTTATTGTTATAAACAGCCTCCTGGTGCTTTGGAGCTCATTAACTGTTTAATAATTGTAAACAATGCCGCCAAAGATTGAGAAAACATGTACAGGTTCGTAAGTGCTTGCGTAACTGCTTCGTGAATCTGACCCCAGGTGGTGTAGGAGGACCCAGAAGGCCAGCAAGTACTGACGTAATACACACAGACTTCGCAAAAGCTTTCGACTAATATATTCGTAAAACGTAGTTCGTAAAATGCGAGATCAAGGCATAAGGAAAAATAATACAGTGTCGCGTCAAAACGTCACTTCAAGAATTTTTAAATTACCCGGAAAGATTAAATTAAATTTAGTCACTGGGGAGACATGATCACTACATACAATATTTTCAAGAGGATTGGACAGAATAGATAATTGCAAACAATTTGATTCGCAGAAATACAACAATTATCCTTAAGACTATCTAGAGTAGTTAACAAATTGAATGCACTGAGTGAAGTGAAGGTAGACCCCCATACACAGTCCCCAGACAGACCCCATACACAGTCCCCAGACAGACCCCATACACAGTCCCCAGACAGACCCCATACACAGTCCCCAGACAGACTCCATACACAGTTCCCCAGACAGACCCCATACACAGTCTCCCAGACAGACCCCATACACAGCCCCCAGACAGACCCCATACACAGTCCCCAGACAGACCCCATACACAGTCTCCCAGGCAGACCCCATACACAGTCTCCCAGACAGACCCCATACACAGTCCCCAGACAGACCCCATACACAGTCCCCAGACAGACCCCATACACAGTTCCCCAGACAGACCCCATACACAGTCCCCAGACAGACCCCATACACAGCCCCCAGACAGACCCCATACACAGCCCCCAGACAGACCCCATACACAGCCCCCAGACAGACCCCATACACAGTTCCCCAGACAGACCCCATACACAATTCCCCAGGCAGACATGTACCCCAGGTAACTGAAGATTGAGAAGTGGGACCCCATAGCTGAAGCCCAAACTCACACTCACAGAGACGAACACAATTAGATGACTACACACACACATTTAAGTACACATGTACACTTCCTTCTACATGTACACATAACCAGAAATAAATAACTTACCCCTCGACCCGAACATCACAGGAAAAGAAAATACAGAAAATGAAAACGAGAGAGAGAGAGAGGGGAGAAGACACGAGAGAAGGGGAAACAGGTGGGAAAGATATTTGGTAACTATGGGAAAAGGGGAAAAACAATGGACATATCGACGAAAGGGGGAGAAAGAGAAACTTGATAGTTATTGGCGAAAGAATGATGAAGTTGATAGGATGAGGTAAGGAAATAGACACTGAAATGGGGGAAATGGGTGAGAGACAATTATATAAATAGG